CCAGCCAGCAAGGATACGTTATTTCACGTGACAAGAACGTACCTCTTTACGTAGTATTCACGACCCCCTTCGACGTGGAAAGTCCGTTGAATTTGTTGGAGAAATGTCAGATAGAATCGACGTCAATTTCTGACGACGATTTCACGTGATTTATACACATCTAATCGACGTGATTTATTATGCTGAATTCACGTGTTTTAAACGTTGATTATTATTCTGTATATCTTTAATATCTGAAGACATACAAAATAATTGTCAAATAATTGAAGGGTTAACTGGATAAAGATGGTAACTCACATTTGGATCAAAAAATTTATTTCGCGAGGCCTAGAACTGGTACTCTGCCTGTAAAACTGTTAATGTTAACAACCTGTTTTCCAGACAGAACATCACTGATAGCCGTCGTCAAACATATTGGAACTCATTTTTCAACAAATGTAACTTACCACATTCACTTACTCTACCCTTCAATTGTTCTTGTACTGAAGTAGACCACACTGGTGAGAGAAATATTTACATTACAGCATACAGAATTTACACATATGTGGTTTGAATTGTAAGGGCAGACAAAATGAAGGATTAATACTATAGTAATTTTATTTGAAGTAAGTACTTCAATAATCATAACAGCTCCTTAAAAACATGAGTATGCTAGTTCTTTGTCCAAAGTCCACCGATTGTTTTAAATACAAACCATCAATTGTGAAGTCTTTAAACTGAAGTGTTCCAGCAGTTTCGCTAGTTCGAGCTCGCGCTGTTTGTTGTGTTACTATCAAAATGTTCGTGGGTTGAATAGTAAGTTACATATAATCAGTCCGGCTATTACTGATAGTGAATATGACTTAGTCTCATTAAGTGAAACGTGGTTGAATGGGAACGTTTTGAGTGCTGAACTAATTCCTGACTCTTATATTGTTCATAGGAAGGACCGTAAGTTTACATTGGTTGATAAGAAATGTGGCGGTGGAGTGCTTCTAGCTGCTAAGGAATGCATTAAATCTGAGGTTAGAGATGTTGCTGTATTTGATGCACAATTTCCATCAATTGATTTTTTAATAGTGAGATGCCATGTGGCATATAAGACATTTTTTGTGTCTGTTGTTTACATTCCTGACAAAATTGCTGTTGATGAATTTGAATCGTTCTTTGATGCTGTTGAGCAACTGGATTATTTGCACGACTGTAATTCCCTGTTTCTAGGAGATTTTAATGTGCCTCAACTTGCAAATGGCAATCTTCTAGACCATAAGACACGCATTATCTATAATTTTTGGACATTTTTAATTATAAACAGTCAAATAATGTCTTAAATCAACTTGGTCGGTCGCCAGACCAGGTAATTTCTAAATTACCCTGTACTGTTAAGCGTGATGAACTACCTCTAGTGCCAGAGATGGTCACCACCCGGCACTGCTGTTGATTTGACTGCCATATTCATTAAAGAGCCTAAGTTTACATTCAATCATAGTAAAATAACTTACCACTGCACAAAAGGCTGACTTTGTCAACCTGTATCAAGAGCTAACTCAATTTGACTGGGGTGTTTTATTCTGCTCTTCTGATGTTAGTTATAATGTTGATGTATTTTATGGCAACATTTTCCAAATTTTTGACAGGCACATACCTCTGTATAAGAATTACAGTCACCGATACCCGCCTTGGTTTCACTCAGCTATTATTAAGAACATTAAACTTAAAGCTAAATTTAGGAAAAAAATCAACAGGTCTGCCTTTGTTGATGATCTACAAGAATTCAAACGCTTGCGCCGCTTGAGAAAAAAACAGATTAAGTCAGCGTATGGTCAATATATTGAAAATATCCAGAATTCTTTAACAATTAACCCCAATGCTTTTTGGTCATACGTTCACTCCAAAAACAAAACAGCACGAATCCCAGGGATAATGAAATTTCAAAATAATATATAGATCAGCCTCAGGATATAGTAAACGCATTCAGTGAGTTTTTCAGCAGCGTGTATGTCACTCACAAGCCCCATAATAATGCCTTACTAAATCATAGTAATTTATTTGTCCATTTTCATCCAATTGAGGAAAATGAAGTCAGGAGGGCCATTAAATCACTAAAGGATAAGATGACATCTGGTTTAGATGGCATCACTTCCTTTATAGTCAAAGATTGTGTGGAAGTGCTTGTTGGTGTTCTAACTAGGATTTTCAATATTTATCTTATGCTAAAAAGATTTCCAGATATTTGGAAGATCGCTAAGGTCTGTCCAGTGTTTAAGTGTGGGGATAAGTCAAATATTGAGAATTACAGGGCAATCTCTATATTGTGCATGTTCTCGAAAGTCTTTGAAATAGTCTTGTACAGTCGCATTTACACTGCCGTCCAGCGTCAGCTGTCATTGCATCAACACGGATTTGTCGCTAATCGCTCAACAACCACAAATCTATTTATAATAACGCAGTACCTCTCTGAAACCATTGATAGTAATGAGCAAGTTGACGTTATTTATACCGACTTTTCGAAGGTTTTCGATAAAATTAACCACAAAACTTTATTAAATAGGTTAGGTGCACTTGGTTTCACAGATGATGCTAGGGATTTGATGAAATCTTACTTATCCGATCGTAGACAATTTGTTAGCTATAATGGCTTCCAATCTGAGACCTACTTGGCACCTTCTGGAGTTCCTCAGGGGTCCAACCTGGGACCATTACTATTTTTGATATTTACTAATGACCTCTGTGACTCAGTTGAATGTGAACGCCTATGCTTTGCTGACGACCTAAAAATTTATTTGCAGATAAATACTCCTGATGGTTGTATCAAGCTACAACACCAAATAAATTCTGTGCTGTCTTGGTGTGTAGAAAACAAGTTGAAGCTTAATGTGAGGAAGTGTAAAATAGTCAGCTATACCAGGAAAATTAATGTTTGCGATTATTCGTACTCTATTGATGGGTCTGTGCTAGAAAGATGCTCTGATGTACGTGATTCAGGTATAATCTATGATCAAAAGTCAACTTTTAGTCAGCATATAAATAAAAAAGCAACAGAAGCATTGGCGGCTCATGCTTAGTAAGTAATGCTATAGCACAGCTATTGAGAGAGTACAACGGAAGTTTATGAAGTTTCTTCTGTTTAGGATTGATGGGACATATCCAGAGAGAGGTACAAGTAATGAGGAACTATGTAGTCGCTTAGACATGTTGACTTTGAAAAAACGTAGGTACTGCGCCTCAATAATATTTGGCTACAAAATGATCAACAATTTAATTGATTGCCCCTTGATCCTGCAACAGATCAAGTTTCGTACTCCAACGTTTGCATCTCGCAATCATAAAATAGTCGGGCTTCCTAGAGCTAGGACAAACATTCTTCTCAAGTCACCGTTATATGTAATGTGCTCTAACTTTAACAGAATTGGATGTTACTGTGATATATTTACGACAAATGTTAATTACCTGCTAAAGGCAGCTAAGGCTTATTCGGACCAATAGCTCATGTTACAAATTTATACCTGTGTTGCATTTGTTGATTCCTTTTCGCTTTTTTTGCTTTTGTATTATGTTTATAAATTGTCCTATAAATGGGAAACTGTTGGACAATAAAGCTATTATTATTATTATTATTATTATTATTATTATTATCATATCTGCTCATAGATTTTATGTGAGATTTAAAAATAAATAAATACTGGTAAATAAGATTATATATTAACTCATATACACATATAAATAAAATAGAGAATAGAACATTTGCAGATGTTTTAATACATATTGCATGTTAGCTTCCTTGTTAGTGAATCTCAGTATTCTTGAGTGCTTAGAGAGAATCTACCTCCCATATGGTGATGCACAAAGAAAAATCTCAACAGAACCGACATTTTTACCCAAAGCAGCAGTCACTCAACGAACCGTTCAATATTGCAAACTCCACGTTCTGACAAAAGATTGAGGATAGTTATTTTTCAAAATTAACTGTGCCTAATCACCCCAATGTGTCCACATTTTGGGTTTGTAATTTTATAATATACGAGTCATCCTACATCTTATTTATCAAGTGTTTTCCAAATTTGTATGTATCAGATGGAACGAGACCTTGCTTTCTTTATAAGGTAGAACAAAACATTTTGCTCGAATTTCACAAAACTGCCACATGTCAGGTTTGCATGATGGATTGCAAATCAAATAAATATTTAGTACATCACCAGAATCAAAAGGGTAAACATAAAATGGTTTCTTCGGGAGAAACTTTTTCCCCAAAATAAATCCGCCTCTTTTTGAATTAACTAGAATATTATTTACTTCAATAACATACTCATCAGTAAAATAATATGAGTTTGCCTCTGAATGTGCATTTATACAAATCTCGTAAGTCTCCATAGAAACCTTTTTATACCCTTTTTAAGGTTCAGATTCATAGCATGGTCCATTATGATGCTCTAATTTAAACATAAATTGTTTTATATTTGATTATGTTGTCAAATTTGATATATTCTCAATTCCACAAATTCTTCTTCAAATTTTTTGTAGTGGATTAGGTGGCGATTTTATCATCTTTCTGATATGACCTAGGAAATTTTCAAAAGGGAAAGCAGAAAAATTATCCAATGCACTATTATGTAAAACATCATCACATACATGTTGTAAAAAATTCTGTGCCATATATTTGTTCACATTCTTTTATAAATCTATGTATAAGCTTACTACTTAGATCACAGTTAACTTTTCTCATCTCATCAGTAGTGTTATACATTAAAAGTGAAACTGCACTATGTAATATTAAAAAAGTGTAATACATTTTTTTATTAATGGTATCTTTCAATGCAACAACTCCTGTATATAATAAAAAGGTTCTGAACTCAGATGCTTTGAAACGATTTAGGTCCATTAATGGTCTTTGTTTTCGGTTAATTTCCTTAAGCTTTTTTAAAACCTATTAGTACGTCTGATATTTCATTTAGCACTCTAGAATCCTGTCTAATATGTAAAATTTCCTCCAGACCAGGTAAGTAGTAATTTCCTTGTAATACCTAGACAAATGTTGTGCATGTAATCAATAGGAAAATTTTGAATCATATCTATTTCTAAATTGACTAATGGTGTTGTGCTAACATGGTGATCATCATCAAGTATTAGTCTGAATGAGTGGTCACTTCTTTTCCGAGCATTTGTATCACGCAATACTTCTCTTCCATTAATATACTCTTTCTGTGCGGTACACTTGTCACAACATGAATAACCACCAGGTGCTTTGATGCCTTTTATGAAAGCCTTTGCCGGTGCATCGCATATGAAATTTCCTAATTTTGCCAGATATTTTTTAGTATCTACAAAAAAGCCATTTTTTTATTATATTAAGTTCATTAATGAAGTCCTCAAAATACAAAGACAAATGAGAAGGCTTTGCGTACCGCAATAAATTCCTATAGCAAATACCTTTTGCATGTTATCCACTTTCAGTGATCCCAAAATAGGCCATGCTTGCATATTTGAACTTTTGTACAGAGGAATACCATCAATATTAAAATTCAGAATGTGTGTCATTTTTATAATAATGTCTAATGAATTTTTCGAGATTATTTTTTATGCCTAAATACACATACTGGCCTGACCCAAAACTTTTTATATCAAATTTTTTTGGAGTTTGCAATAACGTACGGCTATCAAGAGGAAGCTCGGGGTGATAGGATGACAGAATATGGAGAAGATCCTTAAGGGCTGTATGAGAGATTTTGAAATTTGTAGCCCAACATTGTAATTCATCTTTTAAACTTGGTTCATTATTTTCATCTATGGAATTATCATCTACTACGTCTGAATTTTCTTTAAGTTCCCTTCCACTTTGCACACTACAGCTTTGATTGCTGGTTCTCAGATCTGGTTGAATATTATTGCTATTGCCAAAATATTTCTCCAAATGTCTCACATTTCTCAAAATATCCCCAGTTACTTCAAAATTTGAATTACTGGATTTTACAGTATTAATGCTCTGTTGTTGAGGTGAAACCACAACCTTTGAGGAATTTATTCAATTAAATATTTGTCGAACTTCCTTTCCAACATGTCTAAATGACTGACGCTCACTAACGACATTTTCATAGTTCCTTTCACTTGATATTGTCTAAAAAAAAAAGGTTATGTAGCAGAAAATCAAACTTAAATATTGTTTATAGTTCATACAATATTACATTCTACTAATACTGGGTATAAAAAAGATACATTACTGTTTTGTTTCTTCTATTTCTTTTTCGGTAGCATTGGTGCCAGAAAGAACAGCTCCTTAAAATAAAATTTGATAATATAGATAATCTTCATATGATATAATCTGCTGTGTATGTACAAAATAAGATTACAAAATCCAACCATCACATAATAATATGATTTGGCTGCGGAAAAAATTGTCTGATTGTTCAACATACTGTTTTAGTTTTTTTTACTTTTTTACCTATACACAAAGCAGTCACATGAAATATAATTTTTGAATATAGTTGTAGCATCGGATATAAAAAACAAAATTTGTAAGCAATAATAGGTCTGAAACTTTGTTTTGAACCCTATAGAGATCTGTTAATACTTACTTATTACAACCTTGTTGAGAATTGAACTTTTAAATGCCTTCTTCTCTTGCCTGGTTCCCAAATAACTGAAGGTAACTGCCAAATGATCAGATATTGGGCGCCTCAAAATTATGTTTGTCTTATTGGTAATATCACGTCCCCCTAACTTTGAAAGGTACAAAATCTGAAAAAAGATATCTAATTTTCTTATTAGGTCATATAACCAACTAAAGTCAACAGGATATCTATTTAATCTGGTATAATAAAGATATTTATTGTTATTATTACATTAGCATAAAAAAACAAAGCTAGGGAATGAGGTTGTAGCAATCAAACAAGCTAACACAAGAAATTACAATTAAAAATAGTTTAGCGCGTGTTTTTCAACATTATTTCACCAGCAGTATAGCTCTTCTGTCATTTGTTCCAAAATTATTTTTTTAAATGTACATTTCCAACTAAATCAATTTATTGTAACAAAGCTAAGGAAATATATAACTTACCAGAAGTGATAATTTTTCCTCACTCCTTAAATATTCTTCCAAAATTATATTACATCTTGAGCAATCAATATGGGAAGACTCACAGGAAAGTCTGAGGGTAACTCTAATGTCAATTCCTTATTGTACTGTAGCAAGATACTTTTAATATCTGTATTTTGGTTTTTTATAGTAACAAGAAGATTAATAACTTGTATTTCAAAAGCTGTAAAAGAATGATATTAATAATACCAGATACACTCAAATGTTAAAAGTTAATAAAATCCAAAATGCATATCAAACATAGGCTCATCAGTGGAATTATTCCTAGGCACAGGAATAGGCAATGCTAAAGTCTGCCTGTTTTTGCATTGCTGGGGAGAAGTCAAGCCTAAAAAAAGAAACAAAAAAAACACTCAAAATATCCTCTCAAGCCTGATACAACCTATTGTCTCAATGTATGTATTTTATTGATAACTTTTAGTTATCTTTACAGTATCTACATGAATGAAAAGTATATGAAGTGCCTTAATCTAGAGTGATCTGAAAGAATATTTTAACATAATCTGAGTACCTATGATGATAAGCCTTGAACTTTTAGAGCTTATGAGGACTATGTAGTTATTCAAGTTTTGAGTCTTGTCACTCTTTCTCAAAGTAAAAATTTAACGTTTTAATTTGTACTTTGTAGAAAGGCATACAAAATGTAGGTAAAATAGTTTGTTTAACATCTGTGGTCTTATTTACTGGTCAATTTATGAGGGAGATCAAATCTATTATGGTGCTATGCAAATTTTATTACTAACAGACCACTCGTCTCGGATTTACAAGGGGCTTTATCATGAGTCAGACATTTTAACTGGTATAGATATAATTTTTGTAATTTATGCTTAAACAATATTAAATTACATTAAATTTTTCAACTGAATACTCACCCTACAAATTATTTTTTTGTTTATTAATGAACTATAGCTCAGGAGGCATGTGATACCTAGTATCTTCTTCTTCCTCTTCACTATCACTTGGAAGGAGCCGTTTTGGCGGCACTCTTTATCTTTTTTCCAAAATTCGGTGTTTAGCTTCCACATCTGTGTTTATATCAGAAACCTCTTCTACTTTCCTGATTTTTTTGTTGGGCTCTGTTCAAATCATCTAAATGTAAAAGTCAAAACACCCATATATATTGTATTATCGTGGAAGGTATACATATTAGGCCCATTCAGACAGCATAAATAAGCAGGCCACTGGTAGTGCTTTTATGTTGAATAGTAGTAGTCATGAAATACCTTTGGCAGTTCGCAATGATAATCAACATATCAGTGGCGGCCGGTGGCTGTGAGAAATGGGGGGCTATTGTAGGGAAGGGTGGCCTGCCGCAGTCACCGCCGGAGGCAAAGAATTTTTACGGTGCCACGCCCAAAAACTTCCATTTTGAGCCTTCAAATTCAAATATACATTTTTAGAGCTATAATTTTTTTTGCATTTTTTATGTCCTGATTTTGTGGACGGATCAGTTGGCAATCCTATACCTATATATTTTATGTACAGTCCTCTGTATAGGAACAAACATATTTTAGGTACGAGAACTTATCGCAAAAGAAAGCAGCATCTAATATGAAAGCAACAGAGCATCTATTATCAAAAGAACAACAGTACTCAAAAGTATAGTTTTTCACTTTCTTACAACACATGTAACTATAAATAACTGGAAAAGAGAACAGAAATACGGTATACCTAAATGTATTATTGTATTATAAACGACTAAGTATACCTACCTACAGCTAGAGCAAACATTGTGTTTCAACTGTCACACTTCACACTTCTATTTATTACAAAATATTTTTTAATGTTTATATGTAAAGTCTAATCTTCTGTCTTTCTGTGAAATAAAATGTTCCATCACTTTTTTGTCGAAATTGCTGATATTATGTACCAGATTCTTATTAACAGACATCATTGCCAATGCATTGAGTCGTTCATTGCCCATCGAGTTTCTTAAAAACGATTTTATCCTCTTAAGGGTTGAGAAACAGCGCTCTGCTTCGGAAGTTGACATGGGAGTAGTTATAATTATTTGCAACAACTTAGTTACTTCGCTAAAAGTTTCCTCTAGGTTGTTATTAGTCAATAGGGACAGCAAATTCAAACCACCTGTAATATTTTTGAAGTCTTCCCTCATGTACATTACTTCTAATTCGGTTTTCAGTTTTTCTTTATTTACCATTGGATAATAAGTCACAACTGAATTCAGTATTTTTGCTGGAAAATATCTCGAATAGTTTGTGAAGTTTTGTGTATCTAATAAAGATGCAGCTTCTAGATGACCCCTGTAAGAAAGTCTCTCTCTCTCTTGTCTGTACAATTATTATATCGCAAACTTCTTTTGCAATAATACAATTTCTTTCTTCGGGTCCTACTTTTCTGCGTTTATTTCCATTGTCTCCATGCTCATTTTCAACAGTTTGCTGTATATCCTCTGTAGTGTCCCTAATCAATACAATGGCCTTCTCAAATACCTCAATATCTTTTAAAAGTTGTACACTGTCTTTATTCCTACTTTGAAACTGGTTAAACAAAATAGCTACGTGCGGTAGGGTTTTGTGAAAAAAAGTCAAAAAAAAGATGAAATCAGAATCTTCGAGTGCTCTTCTTAAACCGTATGCCTCCTTACTAGTAATTGTTTTATCACATTTATTCTCTAACTCCCGGAAACAATCAATAAGACTTTCACGGTTCTCAAAAACGGCACTGACTGTGCGAATGTTATAATTCCACCGTGTTGGCGCAACCTTTGGCATTTTGGTTTTAACTATTTTTTCCAATAAATCGCATCTGTGCGTGGAGTTGGAGAAGAAACTTGGAATTGCCGACAGGTTTGAAAAAAACACTTTTACTTTTGGATTTTGGCTGGCTGCTCTCTGCATAATTAAGTTCAGTTGGTGAGCGTAACAGTGTATAAAATGAGCGTTCTGATATTTTTGTTTGATTTTTGTTTGAACTCCACCACTGCTACCGCTCATTACGTTTGCACCATCATAAGTTTGCGCAATTAATTTGTGGGGTGAATCTTTTAATAATGGGCCTAGTTCTTCTTCGATACACTTTGCCAAACCTTCAGCTGTCTTGTCCGTAACGCTCAAAAAACGCCAAAATCTTTCTTGTATTTCACCTTCATGGAGATATCTAAATATCATTACCATTTGACAATGATGTGAAATATCTGTTGTTTCGTCGCACTGTATAGCTAAAAACTCTGCTGCATTAATTTGCTGTCGAATTTCTTGTTGGCAGACTTCCAACATACTATCTAGTATTTCATTTTGTACTGTTTTAGAAGTACCCTTAAACAGTGTCGCACTTTTTAAATGTTCCTTTAATATTGTATCCAGTTCGGACGTAAAATTAATCAACTCTCGAAAAATGCCACGATTTTCAGAGTCTTCACTTTCGTCGTGCCCTCTTAACGCTAATTCCAATTTACCGCAAAACTTTATACAGTTTATTATTCTTTTTAAAAGATATCTATTTTTGTCCACTTGCTCGTTGTGCTTAATAATATTTTGCCTGTAAGCGAAATCTAACTGAGCAGCGATACTAGCTGTTCCCAATAAAGCCAATTCTGTCGAACAAATCATGTGACGAGCCGAATTTTCATGCTTACTAATTTTCTGGTTTATATGCTTTAAATCTTTAAATCCAGTTCTTGTCCATGTCTTTTCCGCTGCATCTGAATAAAACAGTAAGCACGGAAAACAAAACAGGGCGTTTAATGTGCCACAACCGCATATCCATTTGTTTTTGTTATAGATATCTTTCTTAAAATGTCTCTTAAAACAACCAGCTTTCGTCGATTTATCAGCCTGAGTAAGGTTGATATTTGGAATCGGCCTTCCAAGGGATTTTATTATTATTTTTTCAGCAAGCGGAAGCCGAGAAAATTCACCTTTTAACAAATTTTGTACTTCATTTGCCATTTTAAACTTTTTGAACGCCCGAACGACGGCACGGGGACGCGACGAAGCGATTTCGTACACACGTAAATCGGGACTGGCTAAAAATTATTTCGCCACCTCGCGTGTTAAAATCCCGTATAAAACTCGTAAGCGCGTGGGGGGTATGACGTAGCGAGCCACTCAATCAGGTCGGCGATCGCGGCAAAAATTATTCTAGCCTCGAATCGATAGGGAATCTAGCTCGCGACTTCGGGGTATTGGGATCGGGTAATATATATATATATATATATATATATATATATATATATATTGCGTGTTGCGTAACTGGCTACTATTAAAATTCAGGTTTTGATTGAATTTTCGTATATATCTGGAAATTATTTAATCACAAAATCATATTTTAAATTTTTTGTTAATTCGCATTTTGTCTTGGGGGGCTGTAGCCTTTTCGCCCCTATGGACCGGCCGCCACTGCAACATATTGTCAAATCAGCTAAGTGAAACTGCTATCAAACTGACAAAGCTATCCCATGGCTACTGCTACTCAGCAGAAAAACGTTGCAGTGCTTTACGTTAGTTGAACGGGCTCATTGTTTTACAAACACCAAGTAACAAGTCCCACTTTGTGATATAAAAATCTTGCGAGTACTGAACGTTGGCAGAGTTGTAGCTGCATTATTTGAAAAACGTTCCGATTGACATAATGCTATACCTTGATGACTGGCATATAGAGACTTGAAATAATTGAATACATTTTATTGCTTAAATAAAGCTGAAGAATGTACTTACCGTCCTCAAAAAATACTTTTTTGATATCCGTACAACTGCCACCGCTCACTAGGGGATTCTCCTTTTTTTAGAGAAAAGCGACATTAAAGTAAAATAAAATCTGATAACGCCGCAATACCAGACGCAAATTACGACGGAACGCAGTATAAATAAAGATGTAGTTTGTTATTTTTGGCTCTCAGGTTATTTGATAATGTACTCGTAAAATGCAAACAATTAAAAAACGGACTTACCACTAACTGTCTCAGCGCTTTACCTGGTGTGTGAAAGTTTATTGAACGTATTACGACGAACCCAGTTTCTTCTCACTCTAGGTCCACGAAATTGTCCATTTATTATTTCAGTCGCATTAAATTTTTATCGCGAAGTTGTGCTTCAGTTGTTATTGGACCAGCTCCATAAACCATCCCTTTAAGTTCTCCCCAATACCAGAAATCCATCGGATTGAGGTCAGGAGATCTTGCTAGCCATTTTCGAGGATCGGGAGCATTTCATTCAAATACTGAATGACGCCTCTAAAAATGTGTGGTGGTGCCCCGTTATGAAAAAACCAAAAATTCTGTCTCCGTTGCAATGGCATGTTGTCTAAGGTCTGTTCCAAAAGTTCTGGTAGGTTATTGGCTAGAAAGCTAAGGAATCCTTCTCCTGACAACTTTGAGGGTAACTCGAAAGGGCCAGTTACCTGATTGTCAAGAATACCCGTCCAAATATTTATTTTAAAACGTTGTTGGAAATGACCTCCACGAATGGTATGAGGATTTTCTTGGGCCCACGTGTGAGTATTATGGAAATTTAATATCCCGTCTCGAGTAAAAGTACATTCGTCATTCGCTAGAATGTTTATAAAAAAATTCGTATTTTCAATATTTTTGTGCAAAAACCACTGACAGAACGTTAGTCTGCGAGGATAGTCTTGGACTATGGTATGCGATAGTGCGGTGGCGCAATTCCCGAGTGCTGGTATCTGCATTGATTTCCACGATATTTGTTCCTCCTGCTCTACAGTAACCTGTCTTTCACGAGTGCGAATATTAGTGGGTTGAAGACTTCTGTATCCCGGAGTCTTTGGTACACATTTACAAGTGTCCTTCTGTCTGGGTGTACCCGTTGGCGAAGTATGTCGCGATAAATTTGAACTGCAAGATTTGAATTCTGACGAGCTTCACCGCAAACTAACATGTCGGTGAGCTCTTGACTCGAGAACATTGTAAATGAAGACGACGACGTACGCGAACAAAAACAAAACAACATACTAACCACTGTTACCGTTTGCGATGGATTGCCGGTTCGATAAGAGTGATGATGACCGACGCGCTGTTGGCATGTGCGTTTTAAATATTCAATTTAATGAAACTTACTTACTGACTACTTAATGCCATTTATTTGTTAATTACAAAATTTAAAAACGTTTTAGATTAGATTATAAAAATTAGTCAGATTGTGGTGATTGTGGTCAATATAAAGCACTCAAGATTGTAAACTATAAAGCCATTTAGACAAAAATCTATTGACTTTCGAGACCATGGGTCATATGAACCTTTTGACTTGTTTTGACCCCCCCCCCCTATTACCCATTTCAATAATGACTACCATAACGTTTACACCCTGTATATCAATTTCAGTGCCCACCTGTAGCACTTTTTACAGAGCCACTTTAACTTTTACATATCCCACAATAGTCGCAATACTTACACTCTTACTAACACAGCATCTCATCTTTAACGAAATATCCCTGGAAGCATCAGCGTTGTGAACGCAGTCGACATTTTTCATTCGACAAGACCTCGTTTAAAATATTTTGTTTTAGTAGTGACTTAAATTTATGACGTGATATTGATGTCTGATCCATTATAATATTTGGCGGCGTTATATTTGAAAGAACGCTGAGACATGGCTGGTATGGATAATCCGCTCATATGCCTTAAATCTAAATCATGAATGCTTGTTCCTAATGTTAGCTTGTGTGAATGAGCGGTTATAATCAATTTTATAAATGATAAAAATAAGTATTTGAACAGGTTATGCATTTTCAGCTATCGTAATTCTTTGATTGGGACAGTTAAATGACTAGGGAAACATTTGATCTAAGCAAGGACAATACGTTATGATTACACATTATATTTAGGAAATAATTAATGATTCACATAATAGCTTCTTTGTTTTAACACTGAGTAGACCCAAATTTTAGCATACATCATTAAATCTTAAATGTAAGCTGCTTATTGTTATTGTTATATGCTTACTTTTAGATATCAATAAGACGTTCATGGTATCCACAGCGGTACAACGCACAATGAGGACACAAGGCACCATATTTATTTGTAAAAGCACACTGAATAGCGATGAAAATGGTGTAATTTTAGCAGGGTTATTACGTGAAAAAACCTAAATATTGTCAAAAAAAGTCGGTAGAATGACAACTTGCACTAGGTATCCGCTAGTGTGCCGCTAGTTCATTCCGCTCCTACTGTCGGCTAGTTCAAAGGTAAAATTTTATAGAAAAACCTACATATTGTCACAAAAAATCGATATTATGTCAATTTCTAAGTTACGTAATACGCCTACTGACTAAGTTTTACATATTACGTAACGTTTTGATGTTTTTTTTACCATTTGCACAGGATTGTCAATCCGGTGAATTTTGAAAGGAATCCTGTAATTTTTTATCGCTGTCCGAGCATTTGGTTCGCGAAACAGCTTTCCTTGTCTAATTATCTTATCACCTTTGCGTGTTATGCATCGCTTATTTTAAGCATTTCACTGTAAAGTTAAATAAGTTATGAGCCATAGACTATCTCCCCTTTAAGACCCGTATACGGGCTGCCTCAGTGTTATCTCAATTTAAATGTGTGTGAGAGTACAAGGGCTCCACTTTAAACGCTGCTAACTGACCTGTAAAAGTTGTTATCTCTCCTCTGGCACAATTGAGGCTCCCTGTTCGTTCCATTCAAATCCCAAGATAACCACTGAATGTAAACACTTTGACATATTCATCAGTTGTTTTATGAAAATTAAAATGGATTTTCGTTTAACAATCACAAAGCAGAAGTTTCAAGCAATGACTATCTTTTCATCATTGGGTTCCATTCTTAATCAAATGTCCTCTTGTGGAATCAAATTTATGGGCCCAGAGCCTATTTGTAGATCGGAGTCGGAGCCATTTTCAACTATACTAAAAAGGCATAAAAGGGCCCAATGGGCTCCAGGTGTTGTATATTGGTTCCTCCGATACGGGATCAAAAATCATATAAGTTATCGAAACCTATCTTTGGGATCAGAAAATTTTTACGATTACAATGCTTCTCTTTCCTATTGCGAAAAGTTGGAACTAGCGGGTACCATTAAAATGAACTTGTAAATATTTTCGTTTAGGTCTGGGTGCCAAAGCATACATTAGACAATTACGCCGCCGCTTGCATATCCATCAGGCGCCCTGCCCCGTAGAATTGCATACAAAGTATGTTTACCGAAGCTTCCAGAAAAGGTTAAATCTCCGGAAAATTAAGTCTTTCACAAATGAATCTCATTTAGTTGGTGCTGAAAAGCACTCCAGTTATTTGCTGTGTCTTTGTTGCTGAGAGACAGTTAAATAATGATAGGTTGCTCGACGTGAAAACTGAGCTACAAGGCGCTCCGACTGGAAGAAAGGAAGCCTCGCGAGAATATCCAGCATGAACGCCACGGCACACTGCGATGCTGCCCTGACAGCTATGTCACTCTACATTGGAATAGTAACCAAGATAAATGCAAATAAACAATTTGCGAGTATTTGTTGAGACGGAAAACTAATTAGTAAAATAAAAATACTCACACAAATTACGTTTCGTCGTTCTCGAAATACTCTCATATAGTGTTGCAAAGATAAAAAGTTGATTCAGGCAGGTAAGGTTCTAAATTATTTACATTTAAAAGTGGGTACGCAATATAAAAAAGAGCGTCAAGTGGATTAACTCTGTACCTCCCACGCCTCCAATACAACTGCTAG